ATTTTTTAGCAAGGACACAGTGTAACACAGTGAATCGTTTCATCCTTGTTTAACATTGGCAAACAACAAGGATGTAATGATTCACAGTGTTAAGGCCTTTATCACACATAAAATTCCGTAAGGACGTAAAACGTAAGCGTAAGAAAATCGATCAATCACAGTCGAGAACGTAAGGCAATAACGCAAGCAGTAGCAAAATCCAATCTGTTTATTTTCTTACGCTTACGTTTTACGTCCTTACGAAATTTTATGTGTGATATGTGTGATATGTGTGAAGGCCTTTACACTGTATCACATTGTGTCCTTGCTGGAAAACGCCCCGTGCGAGTCGTTCGAACGGGGGCGAATCAAGTGCACGAAAAGGAGAGCAAAAGCAATCTGCGAAATGGAGTTAACATGAGAATAATGTATGGACAATTATATTCACCTGAGGCTTACTGCGATGTCGCCCGATGCCTCTCCCAGGTCGCCGCTTCCTCTCAGATTCCTCCAATTGGCACTGGCACGACACAACACAACACTCGCGAAAGCGGAGATAATTACGATTGCGTCACTCCCGGCACTATTCGTCGCGGACTCCATTGCAACGAGAGCAAGAGACGCGATCGCGCGAACACGATCGACGGCGTCGCGCAAGTTGGCGGGAACGTTTCGGCGAAAAGGACCGCGGGGCTCACCTCGCGCGTTTCCCCGAGAAAGGCGACCGAATGCGGGCGTGAACGTCTCTCTTGCCGCGCGTCACGCGTGAAATTCTACACTCGCGAGGAGACACGAACTGAAATCGAGGCCCGGTGGAATCGCGTCGCGCGACGGCGACGATGCGGCAGATTCCCGGCTTCTCGCGAGATACGCGTCTCGGTGGATCGTCGACGCACGAGTGTCGAACCGGCGCGATTACTAACTTGATTGGACACAACGCCATTGTGCGAGCCTTCGTGAAACGCGTCGTGGTGGCCGTCGGCGCGGGAGAACGATCCACTGCGCGTCCGTGATGCTTCTCGAGTGATCCCAACATGGCGCAGGTTTCTGGCGGCACGGCACGGTACTACTCGAGTCGCGTCAGCGACACGCGACGATTCACTTCTCACTTCGATATCGCTCGCGCAATTAAACGCGTGAATGCGCACGTTGACGGAAAATCGAGCCTCGTTACGTTCAATTTATTTCGTCTATTTTATACACCGCCGAAGGCACAGCAAGCGCCAACGGTAAACGGCGATACGGGCGGTCCGCTTCCCGTACATCGAGCCGAGTAAACGCCCCGAGAAACGAAAGACGTCGTTTAATTGTTACGCGGAGAACGAGCGCGCACACTGTCCCGTGGCATTCGCCGCGGCGGCTCGAATGCTACTGCGGTACACGGGGACCTCGGCGCGCGCTCGGGTATAACAAAAACAACATATTTTCGACGCGCAAACAAGCAAAAACCGCGTAACCGTTTCGGTGTTTTTCACGGGCAAACGGACTATCAGTCTGCTCTCCGCCGCATACCTGTGTTTTTCTAGAGTGACGCACGCTCTGTACGAATATCGTGTGCTCTGTTTAGCGTCGCGCTCTGTTCAGTGTCGTGCTCTGTGCGAACAATTAATAGCCTGGTTCACAACGATCGTATAAATACGGCTGACCGGCCAGTGACCAAATCGGTTTACTAGTTATTCATTGTGCTATTTGACACGCGTATCAAACAATCGGTGTAAAGAGAAACGATCACGCAGTTGCCCCGTGGCGTACGCGCCGGCGGCTCGAACGGTAATGTCGGTAATGCGACGCGGCGGCGAGCGGCGGTGGTGGGGAGCGGCCGCGGCGGCTCGAGACAGGTCCGTGCCTGTAGGGGGCGGCCGATAGGTGGGGGCGTCGTCATTTGCGAAATGATTAATTTGTTAATATTTTTTATAAAAATGCACAAAATCGTGGAAATAACGATGGAGCAATGCGAAGCAATAAAGGAGCAATCGTCCTACGTAGAATAAACTTGCAGAAGACTGTGAGAAATATGTTTTTGCAATGAAATGAATGGTTTTTTGCAAAAATATGAATTATACGCATAGAGCTATTGAACATTTCAATAGAGCAACCGAGGAACAATTATTCTAGGCAAAAATCAATGGGAAATGTCGATTAAACTCTTTGAGATTAGTTGTAAACGAAAGAACTGTTACGTTTCGTTTGAATATTTCCGCCGTTTATGCTGCAGAGCCATGTAATTACGATAGGTGGCGGCGTCGTCACTTGCGAAATGATTAATTTATTAATTTTTCTATAAATATGCAATAAATAATTAAAATAATGATGGAGCAATAAGGAGCAATTAAAGAGCAATCGTTGTATGCTGGATAGAATTGCACAAAGCTATTAGAAAAGTTTTTTTAGTAAAAATTAAAAATTTTCCTTTTTTTTGTTAATGTTTCAGAACCTATTTATTTTAAAAGGGGAGCAATTGTGGATTCTAATGGAGCACTTCGGGAGCAATCGTTTGAGCTAGGTTTTATAAGAATTTATGAACTCCCAGCGCCAACTTAATCCGGTCGTGCATACATCCATTTCATACATACTTTCCGACATTGTCAATAAATCGGTAACAGGAGCGAGCGAGATGAGATAACACATGCAAGCCCGGCGAGCCGCAAGGATTAAGTGGATGTAGCACGGACACGCACCAAAAAGTGATATTTATCGACTGAGTCAATAAGTAGATGTGTCTCCGTAGTTCTTACATCCACCTTTGGTGGCGAAAATCGGTCCCAGACCCTACGGCATGGCCGCTCTCAAGTTTCTCTCATCTATGGTCTATGGTCGCAACATGTCACACATATACAACACACACATACGCACAACACAACTGTACAGCCCGCGCCATGGCCGCGAAGAAGTTGTTTCGTCGTTTTTGTAAACGATACTGAGAGACGGTCGTATTGCGAAACGCGGGCGATCTCACCGAGCGATCGGCGACGTGCGGCAACTAGGTAAGTCAGCTCCGTCCGCCGGAGGTGCCGTGACGCGAGAAACGAGAGCGACGAGAAGCGAACGTTCGGTGGGCTCCGAGTGTACGCCCGGGCGACGAGGTGTGCTCGATGGTTTTCAGGGAAAGTCACGCTCCACGTGGACGCGTCGCGTCTCGTCGCGGACGCACCGCGTTATCTCCGAGTCGTGGAAGCGGGCGCGTTCCGCCGCTACGCGGGGACGCGTAGCGCCGCGAACGTTGCCGTCGCGTTCTAACCTCTCAATCGCTTTCCTCTCCCGCTCGACCGTACGACTGTTGACCACGCGCGCTCGGTCGGTCCCGTCCGTCCGTTCGGGGACGCGCGCCGGATCAGGAGACGCATCCTCCGGTCGTCGCCGAGCGATCGACGGCGCACGCGGATTGTTTCCCGCCCTGTCGAGTTGTCCAGTCGATTTGGCGAAGTTAAAGCGCGTCTTAAACTTCGCCCCGCCTGTGGCTCCGATCCGGCCGAAGATCAGTTCAGTTCAGTTCAGTTGTTCCTGGTGGTTCTACTGGTGGTTATATATATATATATATATATATATATATATATATATTTGTTTCCCCGTAAGTGGAAAACGGCTCTCGGAATCGCTCGAGAGCCCTCGCTCTGTCTGTCCGTCTCTCTCGCAGCTGGTAAGTAGCTGGGGGAGGGGGAGGGGGGTTGCAAGTGACTCCAGGCAAGAGGTGGTGAACCAGCGATTTGCCGAAACAAACTCGCCTCACCCTCCCCTCGTACACGTGGCAATCACCGATGCCTTCCCACGCGAATCTGCGCGCCTATCGACACATTTGTACGTTTCGCATACGCAGCGTACATGGGAAATGTATGTGTGCTCTGAGTGCGCCCAAACTCATATGGGAGGGTATCGGCGATCCCTAGTTGTACAACCCGTTGTCTTGTACTTTAAAGAAATTACACTTGGTATCCCGTTGTAAGCAACGCCGGTGCAGCCTCTGTATTACAATAGACTCACGAAATCGTTTGTGCACGTTTACGAGCCTCACTGAAGAGTGTCCAGTTCTCGATTAATGTATTCCGCTTCGTGCCACGCGTGCCTCTCGCGCGCGCGCGCGCGCGCGCATGGAGTACGCTCGCAAAACTTCGTTAGTTTCGTTATACTCGCAAAGTTAAGTATGGCATCTATCTTCGATGCGTATGCAATACATAATTGTGTTACACATCGGATACATGTATACACGGCACTGCGGAACACTTACGTCTCGGTCAGGGGGTCAGTTCCGTATCTTGCGACGTAGCGAGAATGCCAAAAGTGAGCGGCCTTATCACTTTTTAAGGAGACAGACTCCGAAAGAGACGAGGCTCACTTTTAATATTTTCGCTATGGTGCAGGACACAGGATTGACCACCGGATATTAGTTGTTAACGCATGCGGCAATGATGATGGTAAGTAAGTACGGCCAATTCAAATTTTCCAACTATAAGCTACAATAATTAATAACGCAGAGTTGACGCGTTGACACACTAAGCAGAAACCGCTACTACGGGGGTTGGCTGGTGCACAATGCGTGAAATTATATTCGCGGATGGACCACTACAGTTGTATCTGCGAATGTAAACGTGTTGCTTACGCTCGTCGGCGCGCCGTGACTTGCCTCTGCCAGCACGTGCCCTCTCGCAGCGACGAAAAGTCACCCTCGCGAGCCTTTAGACTCTTTTCACTTTTCTCGCGAGCGAGACGCGCGCCGATTGCAATTCTGTGCCAGCCTTGATGTTACCTACGATCATCACTTTTATCGCCTTATCAGCTCTTGATATTTTCAGAGAATATCGCTGATCGTGCATCCGCTGTTACGGCCGTACCATGCAGAACTTTGATGATCTTGATATAGAGGGACGTAATCCTTCTCACTTATCGGAAGAGGATAAGGAAAAGGTAAACAGAGGATGCGGGCTGGAGGCCCAGTCTGAAACGACCGATTGCCATGAGTTATTCTGCATTTTTGTAGTAATTGCAAACGACAACGCAACTTGTCGGATAATGTCAAGTTTTCAGTCTAAATAATCGTTCTTACGCGGATCTGTGATACACACTTAACATTCTATTCTTCGCAAAAAAAAAGACATGGACCGTCACGACTTACGGATAATTTTTGAAATTAGCATTCGGCAACGGAAGATCACCCGGCTCACGAATCGTTTATATTTCGTAGGAAGAGTATGATCGGAAGCGTATAATGCGGTGCAGCGTCACCGCCGAAGACGGCGCATTGAAACCTGTCTACTCCGAGACCGAAGACGGTGATATATGGTGTCATATCTGTAACGTTGCCTTATTCGGCGCCCATAAATTGATAAATCATAACTTGTGTAATCGTCACAAAATGAAACTGGACGAGTGGCCATATCCGGTTATGCTGTGGTCCAAACGGCCGGATGTGGCCAAGATGGTCGCGCCAGTGCAATCCACCACTATCGGCGACACCCTGGCGCCTGGTGAGCCAGTACCACCTGGTATGGAAGACCAAATAACGCGGACCACGTCGATACAGATGAGCTTAGACCGTCATCAAAGCTCGCCGCTCGTCGGCCTCGAGTACCTCCTCGAGCTGGTGGACAACGACTCCTGCGAGCCGAGTTACACGTGCGTTTTGTGCGACAAGCGTGGCGATCCGCGCACAGTAATGGCCCACATTACCAGTTACAATCATCGAATCACGTATCTGAATAGACACTTTCCAACTATATCGCGAGCAATCACGGAGCTACCGCGTACCCCTAACTATAAGCGCGGAGCCAATGAAATATCGGTGTTAGTGGCGAAGAAAATTGAAGAAAAGTTCGGAAGAATGAAGCCGCAATTGGTAGACAAAGCTCAGTTCGAAAAGAATAAGATGCAATATATCAAGAGGGTGTATCAGGACGTTCACTTTAGGTAAGTCGGAGTATCCGACCAATATTATTGCTGTTGATTAAAATTGATTCTCTCAGTTTACGACTTCCGTACGATCTTCTGATTTCGAGTGATTTTCATTTTTCGCTTCCTCACATTTCAACCTTATCGTATGAAAACCAATTTGACTGTTTCCTATACATAGGGAAACGTCAGAGTGTACATTTATGGAAGTTTACGATGTGCGATGGGTAACAAATTTTGACGAAAAAATGGCAGAAGTGAATGGTAATATTAGGAAAAAAGGTGAGTACACTTTATAATTGTTTCTGAAGTGACAATAAGTAATAGAATTTTTTTATTATATTAAACTAAATCAATATCAATTTTAATCTCCGTCAAGATTCCCCTGATAAAAAGACTGATGATAAGAATAAGAAAGAAGAGAAGAAAAAGGAAAAGTCACCTAAAAAATTAGAGTCTAAAGGAGAAGTTACGAAATCGTAAGTAGATAAAGCAGATAGATAAAATCAGAAATATGCGTGCGGATAATATACGCGTAACTTCTACAAAAGTTTGGGTTAAGTTTGTAACTTATTGTTTCTAAATAAACTTCAAGATTTTTTATCAGATCGACACTATTAAACTTGTGTTTTAAAGTTAGATTATTATTTATGTATCTATAAAGCAACAGAAAGATAATGGTACATTTTAATTTTGTCATTATTTTCTGTTAGAATTATACCTCTCAAGTGTGAATATCTTTGAACTTCGGAATTGTTCTTCTCATTTTAGGGGTTTCAAGATGCGTATAGTTAACAAGGATAAGATGAACCTTCGTAAAACCTCGCCGAAGCCCGAGGAAAACGTAAAAAAGTCACCAAAACGTCCCTCGGATGACACCAAATCACTTTCGTCACTTTCGAGCATATCTAGCAGTCCATCGCCGTCCCGTTCGAGATCTCGTTCACCGAATCGGAATAAAAGAAGAAGTTCCGTCGACAGGAGCTCAGGAAGGTATCGTAGCAGCCTGCGACACTCGCGCGAACGTATCCGCGGCCGATCGCGATCGCGGTCGCGGTCTTTACAGCCTCATAGGGAACGCGACAAGTGGGATAAATACCGCGAGCAGATTAGACGCGCCGAGGAAACGTTAGATCGTGCTCTCAAGTTCCACGAGAAGAATCCTGAAAAGCATCCGTCTTATCCGGACGAGTGGAAGAAATTCTGGAACAGACGATACAAGGAACTCCAGGCCGAAGGTAACGATCCGAGCAAACACGACTTCAAACCGGAGTGGATTGAGTTTTGGAACAAGCGAATGCGCGAGATTCACAGTGAGCAGCTTCAGCAACGGAAAGAAGAGATCAGAAAGAGATTGGAATTGCCGGAGGACAAACCGCCGGAGAAGTGGGTTCCACCGAGGCGAGAGCGAGAACGAGAACGGGAGCGGGAACGTGAACGTGAACGTGACCGGGAACGTTCGCCTGCGAAGCGCAGCAGGCATCGCATAGAAAGCGACGATGAAGTAGAGTACGTCGGTACGAAAGTGGCCAAGCCTGACTATTATGACCGTCACGAACTTAGGGAGCGCGATTACATGTATTCTTCCTACTCGCGCGGAAGAGGAACCGTATACCATAATTATCCGTCGCGTACTAGGCCGATATATTATGCGACGCCGTATCCTGTAAAAGATAAGTCGCCCACTTCGTCGCCTGTCGTGGAAGAGGTATTGGCGGAGGATCTAGAAGTCGTCGGCTTATTGCGACTACTCACGGCGCTTGAGGGGCAGCTAGGCTCCCTTGGTCCTAAGATAGTATCGCTTTTGTCGAAAGCCCTAGCGGCTGAGAAGTTAAAACCAAATTCCGCTGAAGAACTGCTATACGACGAGGAAGTGAGCGTCCTGTTCGAGACCGTTAAAGAGAAACTCAAGGGTCAGCTGTTCGCGGGCATGGTGGAAAAAATGGCGATTACAGCCACTAAGACTGCTATACAGAATATCGCAAAGTTGCTGCACAGAGCTTCCGAGGGCAAGAAACAGCTAGAGGAGGAGAAGAAAAAGAAGGAACGGGAACTTCTGGAAGCGTCTAAACCTACGACGAGTTTCGTCAATCGGATCGCGTATTCAAGACCGGTGGAGATAGCTACGCCGGTCATTAAGTCTGAACCGGTGAGCGTACCAGGTGTCGGCACAGTTGATAAAGTTGCTATCGCTCAGCAGATTGCCGCGGCCCTCGTCGCGCAAGGTAGATCGAATGTTTCGCAGGAAGAATTGGAAACTCTCATTAACGCTGTAGTCGGCATGGCAGAGGCGTCGAAACACTCCGATAAACCCGTCACCACTGCCGACTTCGTCAAAGGTCTAGCGAATTGTGGCACTGTCGCCGCTCCTCAAGTAACAGAGCCTCTTAAAACGGTATCTATTCTGAGCGAAATTACTCAACCTCAGATTGCGAAAATAGAGAATTTATCAGACAACGAGCTGAAAATAAAGTTGCAGAAATTTAAGGATCTGAGCACGGAGGAGCAGCACAGTCTCATAAGTTCGCTGAAGAAGCTTGAGGCGAGTGATCCGACACGAGTGGAGAAATTGAGAGACTTTGTTAATCTCGGCATGACACTGTCGTCGACATCGATATTGGGAAGTGTCAAATCACCAAGCCCGGAAGTCGAAGCCATTGGCAAAGGCAGGAAGAGCAATTCCCCGTTTTCCACCCGTAAGGGCATTCAGAATCCAACGGATGACGAAGACAAGTGGAAGCCTAAAGTGGACATGTTTGCGAACGACGAGGACGATGAGCCACAAACGAAAAAGGATAGCGATGACAAAACTAAGGCCAAGACGATAGACTTGTCCGACGATGATGACGACTACACGTACGAGGATATCTACAAGGCAGCGAGCAAGAATGTGAGCGAGAATGAAAAAGCGAAGAAGTCCCGTACTTATTCCAGGTCGCCGAAATCATGGTCTCACTCGCGTTCGCGATCGCGATCGAGGTCACGATCGAGATCGCGGTCGAGATCGCGATCGCCGGTATCGCGACAAAAGGAAATTACGAAAACGAGCGATCCGAACGCATTACTGAACGAAACCAAACGCCTGATTGCGAACATTATGGGCGACCTGCCGAACAAATACGTTCCGAAATCGTTGAGCTTGGGTGGCGAGAAGACCGAGTCCGTGGCGGGTTCCGCGGAACCGGCGCCGCCTGGTGCAGTACCGACCTTTTACAATCAAGGTTTCCTTCCGAACAATCAGCCGCGGCCACAGGAACAGCCGATGACCTATCCTAACGTGTCGAATCAGCAGTACCCGAATTATCAGCCGCAGCCGCAGATGTTTCCCAATAATCCCGGATACATGGACAACGGTTACAATTATCAGGGTTACAGCAATCCAGTCAATCAAGGCCAATACGGCGGACCGCCGAATCAGTATCCTCAGCAAACTTACGGCTCTTTCGGTGCACCGCAAACCGCGCCTCCGACAAACTACGTTCAGCAACCTCCGTCGCAGCAATACGATCCTTACATGCAGCAACAGCGATTTTATTGAATGAAAGATCCTTTGCGTCATCGACGACTCTTCTTCAATGGACAATCGTGTTGCAGCACGTCAAGTCCGCGAGCTCGAACCGAGTCCCAAGCCTCGTTCTCTTTCTGTGCACAGATGTACAAGTGCCAAGTTCTGAACGTCGTCGTTTCAATTTACACTTTATGTAATTTTTTAACGAAATGGGTCAGATTCTATTTCGTAATTAGCCAACGACAATTACAAGCACTTTCGTTTCTGTCTACGCAAGTGCTTCCGTAATGCCGAAAAGCTGTACTTAGACAATTGCAAATCCAGACGTTTTGCCCGATCCCTCTCTGTACATGTATTTTTATTTATTCGCACGAATGAAACGTATCTCCTATCCATATCTCATCAAAATTCGAGTAAGAAAATCATTGTCATTTTCGAATGGAATAAAGTCTCGTTTCAATGTATAACTCGAGAGCGTGTCAATCGTCTGTTAACATGTAATTCGGCATTTTTTTATCCGTACATTGTGCATCTTTTCATCCGTAACTCGCATTTCGTTTTCGCATAAGTTTTCATGTATCTGCTGCGCGGGTGTGTGTGCTAGTGAAAGTCTCATAAGCTGTGTATCGACCGAATGTACGTCGCGTTCGAGCGAATTGTACGTGTGCGAAGTGAACGTGTGTCGTTGTTATATATACATATATATATATATATATATACATCACATGACTTCGACCAAACGAAAGTAAGTAAAATAAACAGTCTAATCGCCAGAGCGTGTACATCGTCATAACATAATCTTACTATTTGTAATATATATTTGATAAGTAATAACCGCTTTTGTCGCATAGAAATTGTGGCGATATTTAATAAAGCAGATCGTAATGACTGTGTAAAAGCCGTTTTAGGTTGCTGAAATATTTTACACCTGCGGTATTCGGGACATTTAACATTTACCATAATCAAATTGTAATTCTTTAATAAATATATGACAAGAATAGCGCATCAATTGTAATATATTTTCCATGAATTTAAAATAATACGAACTTTGAAGGCTTATTCTATGTTCTCATAAAGACACAATTGATTGAAAAGTGCGATCGATTAACGAAAAAGGGTCAAATTAACGAAAGTAAATTACAAAATGTGTCTTCCCAATTACGTATACCGTACTTTTTAAAATCGTTACAATGCAAAGAAATAAAAAAAGAGATCTCAACTGGGGAGAAATTTCAAGAGCTATTTTATACTGTATTATTGCAACAGTTACATGCTCGACTTAGCGATATCATATGTTTACGCATTGCACAATGACTAGAGAATTGCAGACATATTCCGTTCTTTGTCCGTGTACCTCGAGGTAATCACGAAGAATTAAATAAAGCACAGGATGCTGCGGTTCATACAATATGTACACTCCCCTTTAGAAACGAAAGAAAGAAGCGCGCCGATCGGGGTTTCAACGATTTCATTTTACTTCGGTACGAGGCCTCTGGTTTTGGGGTAAACCGGTGCCGGGATCTGCTGCATCTTGGTGACGCTCTTTGGCCTGACTCGCGCCGACTGCAAACGCGTCTTGCTTCTCAGCCTCGTACTCGAAGCGTCGACGTCTATGTCGCCCTCGTCGCGCAGAGCCTCCTCCAGAACGGCCTGGATCGTCGGCGCTATCGCGGGTCCCTGATAATCCAAGGTCGTCCGTGTCGGCATGTCGAGATCCAGGTTCAAAATGTTCTCGCCCGCGTAACGGCATCCCCGTCCCATCGCGAGAGCGATCCGCGCGTACTCCGAGACCGGTCTACGCGCACCCGGCACGGAGGTCGGTCGCTTGATGGCATCTATGCTCGACGGCGCGGGATCTTTCACGACCCAGCAGTCCTCTTCTTCGTCCAGCTGGATTCTGGATAGGATCTTCGTCTTCTCTTCTTCGGGGATAAAGTTCTCGATTATAAGGTATTTGAGCTTGAGCTCCTTCATCAATTCGTGCTGCTCCTGCTCCAAATCCCGCCTGTCTCTGTTGTAGTCACTGGTCACGTCCTCCAACTCTTGCTTCAGAGCCTGCAGCTTGGTGAAGCACTTTCGCAACTTCCTAGACTTCACATCCACCTCCTGCTGCAACGTGGTGTAGGTCTCCCTCACACCAACCATCGTCAACTCCTCGTCCTCCAACTTCTGCTGCATCTCGACCTCGCGCCTCTTGCGTTCCGCGATCTCGGCCGCCTTTTGCTCCAACGCCCTTTGCTGCTCGTTCGTGTGATCGATTATATTCTTACCGCCGCAGAGCATCTTACTCTCCAAATCCTTTATTCTGTGAACGAGATTCTCGGTCTCCTGCTTCTCGGCCTTCAACTGCTCTGCTATAAGTTTCTTGTCGGTTTCGGATACTTTATTGTCTTCGCCCCGACTGTCGTCTTCGGACTCCGAATCCATGGTCTCATCCTCCTTTCTCCTTTTCACCCTCTTCTTCTTTCGTTGCTGCACCACGCCTTTCTGCGCGAGTTTCTCCTTCAATCGACCTATCTCCTCCTGATACTGCCTCAACAAAGCATCCTTCGGATCCTCATTGATCCTAGGCTTGTTCTTGATATACTTAGCGCGACTAGCGTATCGCAGAGTCGTCAGAGTCTCGTCGTAGTTGTAGCTGGCCGGCCCGATATTCGCCACCATGATCGTCTTCGAATTACCACCCAAGGAATCTTGCAGCAATCTCGTCAGCTTAGAGTCCCGATATGGCACATGCGTGGTTTTACCGTCCACCAACGCCGAGATCACGTTACCCAAGGCCGACAAACTCAGATTGATCTTGCTCGCCTCCTTCAGCCGCTCCCCCGACGAGCCGGTTTTGCTCTGCCTCTCGCTACCTGCGAGATCGACTAGATTCAAGCGTCCCACTCTGATGCCACCGGTGTCGTCGATATTGCCCATCTCGATAGTGATGAGGAAGATCGCGTGCGACCGCGAGCTGTGCTCGTTCATGTTCGTCGCGCCGATCGTCCTGTTTTGATTGCCCATGTTCATCAGATGCTGTATCTCCGCCGCGCTCTTGCAAACGGCGGTCGACAGGTCCTTGACGTACACCCCGACGTCCGGCTTCTCCTTCAGCTCGAAGCGCAGGCTCTGATCCGGGTGCAGCAGATCGCGTATCTCCTCCTGATAAATCTCCAGGTAGCTGGCCCTCACCAGATACTGCATGTTCTCCGACCTGCCGATGTTGTTGAATATGTGCTCGAAGGAGCGCGGGATGACGCCGCGCCTCTCATGCTCCATCTTCGAGCCCTCCATGGTGTAAGTCTTGCCGGTGCCGGTCTGCCCGTAGGCGAAGATAGTGCCGTTGAAGCCGTCGAGTACCGAGGACACCAGCGGCCTGACCGTCTCCTCGTACAGCTCCTGCTGACTGGAGTTCCAGTCGTACACCGCGTCGAAGGTGAACACCTTGACGGTCTCGCTGGTCGGATCGTCGCGCGGATGCCGCACCTCGACCGCGCCTCTGGACGGGATCACGTCGACCACGCGGCTGTAGCCGCGAGTGATCTCCCGCTCGTCCATCGGTCGGCACCGCACGACCACCTTCACGCATTGCGTCGCTACCTCGGCGACCGCCGCGCTCGGCTTCATACCCTTCTTCTTCCAGGTTTTCTGCTGGTTGTCCAATTTCTCCATACTGGCGACCAAGTGTACGGCTCTCGTCTGCAAAACATGAATTTATCGATCATACGTTTCAACTAAATTTTCTTTAACTGGGTCTCGTTTTTTCGCACGTAGATATTTGGTTCATTTTTATAATAAATTGTCTCTCGCAAAGTTCAAGTCGACACGCATACCTGTTACCTTAACATCTCGATATTCTAGCCTTGTGTACAGATTTCATTGCACCATGATTGTTACACAATTACTAATTGTGTATTTCTTACAAAAGAATCAGGTTGTTTTTAAAAGAAATATTTTTACATATAAATTTGAATATATAATTATCTAAAATTTCTTGCAAATAATGCATTCACGGTTAGTAGAATCTTACAATCTCATTGAGAGACAGTGTCGCAATTTATAAGTTCTTTGGACCGATTGCAATAAAAATACTTTTTTTTAAATAAAAAGAACAAATTGCCAAAAGACTCTCGACAACTTTTTTTCTTGACACGACGGTCTTTTCGCTTTCTATGATTCTGTAAGTTCGTAAATTGCAACATAAAAGTGATCAATTTTTAATACGACGATCGAAAGTCGAAAGAAATCCTTGAAGTGTACGAAACAATATTTAAAAGAAAAGCGACGTGACCTTCGATCAATTCATCGTGGGCCACGATTGCACGATGTTACTTTCGTGAAACGTCGTCGCCATGCTCACACGACATTCCGAATCGATAAAACTTGGCATGAAAATGCATCAGTCAGACGAAAGCCATGCCCTGTGCAATATTAACTGTACGCCGCATCACAAAGTTTCGATTACTTTTTCATTTAACTTTTCAATCGCTCGATTACTAATCTCGATTATATATTTTCTAAATTTTTACTTTTATGCAATGTTCACAGTATTTCGAATCTCATTTGCAGGAAAGAGAAGCGGAGAGGTGTGCGAGCAGTTTTTTTAACATTCTGTCGATTGAAAATAGATGGTAGAGCCTCGATATCGTTCTGCAGGCCTATAAGGCGGTATCGACCATTTTCTGGCTTCATTTTAAATACTTCGTCCCAACTCCATTCCACGGGGAATAGCGTCCAACTAACGGTGTCGTTAAAATTGTTGAAATAGATTATTGATTTGGCGACGAGGGAAAAGATTCAATGTGAGAATCGGGTATTCATATTATTTTTATGTACCGAGAACAAAATAAAAACGTATCAGACTTAATATTAAGACACGTGTCTGTATTTATTTGCCAGTGTCTCGTCGACCGAGAATTCATACGAAATTACAGCAACCCCGAAGGAATCGTCCTATGAATTTGAAAATGAAATAATCACGAGAAAGCGATCGTAAAACCACCTTCTTTAAGCGCTGCGCCAAGACGCAGGGTCTGTCAATAATTCAAACACAATTTTATAGAGCATCCGTCACAAGAGAAAAAAAAATAAAAGCTGCGTGTAAAAGATGTTAAGACGCATTTTATATATACAGGGTGTATCTGAGACGATGCGCTAAACTTCAGGAGCGTATTCTAGAGGTCGAAATAAGGCTTTTCTTTCCTATGAACATCCGCAAATGAAGCCCCTCCGAGCTAGAATTCGAAAATGTATGAAATTGATCAAACACCCGCAACGCAAGTTTCTCTCACAATTTTATAGAGCATCTGTCACAAGAAAAAAAAATAAAAGCTGCGTGTAAAAGATGTTAAGACGCATTTTATATATACAGGGTGTATCTGAGACGATGCGCTAAACTTCAGGAGCGTATTCTAGAGGTCGAAATAAGACTTTTCTTTCCTATGAACATCCGCAAATGAAGCCCCTCCGAGCTAGAATTCGAAAATGTATGAAATTGATCGAACACCCGCAACGCAAGTTTCTCTATCTCGCAGGATAGGGTGACAGGTAAACGTCAAAGTAACATTAATAACATTAACATTCTGCGTGAACAGATTCTGAACGCATTCGCGACAGTCCGGAGCACGCGAGGCATTTCCGGAAGGGTACAGCAATCGCAGGATGAAAGCTTGCATCGCAGCCAACAGCGCCCATCTCGAGCGGGGTTTTGTAGACAACAGTAAAAATCATTTAAAGACCGAAAGTCTTCGAAACTGCCAGCTTGGCAAATTAATGTTCTCGCGATATACGTTTTCATTATTTTCATTTTAGTGGCTTACCTCACTTCGTTAGCTCGGCGGGGGTTCGTTTGCGGACTCACGTTCGTAGGGGGGAAAAAAAGTCTTATTTATACATTATTTCTAATCAAATCAAGCGTGTGTTAATTGTGCTAAATATCAGTGGTGCCCATCTCTTCGCTTTCTTTATCCTGACGCCTTCACAACCAAAAAATCTAGAATACGCTCCTAAAGTTCAGAGTATCATTTCACCCTGTATATAGTACACTTCTGTAATTTTTAATTCCTCCTCGACCGAGAACTTAACGAGACTGCGGCGACGCAAGAACAACGCTACGAGTTCCAGGATAAAATAACCCACGGGAGGACAATCGGGTAGCTCTTTTCCGCGTTAATACGCGCGAGGCCTGTAAAATTCGTGGGACACTCGCTGCCGCACGGTTAAGGGTTAAAAGCGTACAGAGAGCGCACAACACGCGTACGTCACGTCGCGTCGAGGGGGAGGAAGCGACGGAGGTTCCTCAGCGACTCGCTTTAGCGTGGAGACAAGGCGAGACTAAGCGCGAGGGGGACGCTCGTTCGACGTTGATTCATTACCGTGGTTTCTTTTACGTGTTGCCCTCCGCCGCGAGGTATCGGTATTGATCCATTGTTCGGCCCAAGGATTTGTCAACGGGTCGCCGTCGTTCCTCGCCACATATCGATTCTCGCGGAGCGCGCGACGGGCCCCACCGGGGGCTGCGGGGAGTCGCCGATCTCGGCCGGCGCCACGCGCGATCGTTTTCGCTTCACGGCACTCGCGCTACGCGAAAGTGATCGCGCAACATGTTCCCCGAGCGGAGAAGCAGCCGAGGAGCGCGCGAGAACGTTAATGTCAGGCGTGTGCGCGTGCGGCCAGTCTCTCGCCTCGCCGCGCGACGCCGGGCTGGAAGACGTCACGCGTAATCGATATCTCCGTTCCGTCATCGAACGCGACGAGTCGAGTCGGGAGAGTCGAGCCCGGTGCAAGTCCCGGCGCGCGGCGGCCGCGAGTTCTGCTTTACCGACTCGGCCGTCGCCCGCGCGACCGCTCGAGATTCGATTCCCCCCGGTGAGAAATTCGACGGATCGTTTCTCACCGGGTTGGCTGTCACTGAAAAAATTAGATCAATAAACATTTTAAAAACCAAACGGAAATAACTCGGTCGTGAAAGGGCTAGTGTATATTTTACGCACGTCCGATGTCTTTAATTTCAATCGCTCTTTCCGTATTCCTTATGGCGCGCAAAATTATAAATAAGCTACTGTCCCGAATTGTAAATCTGAAGTCGAGCTCGGTGGCGTCGAGTAAAAATCCCACGGGATTACTGAAAAACGTACAACGTTGTAGAAATTGATACAGTGACTTGTCAAACGCGTTCTTTTTAACGCAATACATGCGATGACTTGAAAACATAATCTTTTGTCATGAAACATTGCGAGACACGTGACGCATAAAAGTTGAGGAAAGCGAGATCTCTTTTTCGTTCAATTCCGAAAATAAATCAATTTCTCGCATCGCCATAAGAGAATTTATGACTAACGAATGTCGGAGCATTTGTACAGCCGTTTTTAATCTTAATTCAATCCTAATTAAACGCGCGTGTCTGTATATCGTGGCGGGGAGCAGAACTTTTTCATTCTACACTCGACATTTGTAAATTTCCCGACCGGTTTTCGCGCGGCGAATCGCCGTGGCTTCCGAACGCAGGCCAACGTCTCGCGTTTCGGAGGAAGTGACGTCAGGCGCACCGTGACTTTCGTGGCGCAGAGCGGAGTGATATGCGAGTCATCTACGTTTCGGCGAGGAGGTGCTCGTTACCGCAGCGTGTCCGTCGTAATTAAGACCGGACACCGTTCGTAATCGAGATTGATGACGGGGAATCGACGCTTTCATGCCTGAAAACCTCTTCCATCCGCTGGTGAGACGTCGCGTCGCGGAGTCCCGCGACGCGCGATAGGTTAATCGCGCTAAATTTAGCCGCTGGCCGTGCTTTGATTCGCGGCATTCACGTGCACGCCTCGCCGAGCAAGCGACACAGCAATTCTGTCCGTCGGCGAGGAAAATGCTAATCAATCTCTCTTTAAGCGCACCGGTTGACAATCGGGGGAAATTGCCGAGGGGCAGCTGCTTGTTTCGCGAGGACAGAAACGGGGGAGCGAATGGAACGCCGTTTTGCAGACGAGACCCGTCGTTTGTAGCGCGGAGCGCAGAAAGGGATATACATATGTGAGGCTGTAAAAATAATTATTGCGAGAGGGAGCTGACAATTCGCCTGATTGTACGTTCAGTGATACAATTTAAGACAAGGACTCTATAAGCTTGCACGATAATCGAGCAGCTTTCGAAAAACTACTACGCTCCGGTTTCACCGACGTTGTTTAACTTTAAGCTTAGCTCAAATCGTTCTCTGTCTCTTTCCAACTGTTAGACCTGATCTACGATGCGCTCTTGCCCGGGAAAAATATGGAAATGTCTCATCATGTATGCCACAATCGTGTAATATCTAATTATATCCAGTCTTCTTTATGTCTGGGACCATTTGGAGATTCACTGATATTAACGCGAATAGAGGATGAAGTCACATAGTGCTCGGATCCCCTAAGATATGCTTTATTCGATCTAAACGAGGCAACTGATTATTGTTATTGAACCAATTTGTATCATAAGTTTTACTGTGTTCTCATCCTGTGCTTTCGATGATTTCATTTGTAGTTTTACCGAGGAAGACCCGAAGAAGGGTCGAAACGTTTATGCTATTGAAGAGAAATTTGGTTTCTATATTGTGAGAACCGAGTTCCGTTCATTTTTTGTGGCTCACATTGGCACTCTCTCCTTTCTACATATTTTCTTTTTGGGAGCCCTCACAACACTTTGGAATATAATTATATCGAACCCTAAAATCATCAGATCTTCAGAGATCTGGCACTTTTATTGAATATTCAATGTTATTGTCTATCGAAATCCAATTATGTTCTCTTAGGGCATTTAATTGTAGACTTAGTTAGATCTGAATAGATAATCGAACGTTTAAGGAAAGTGTCAAATCTCTGAGGATCTGATGATTTTTAGAATTGGATCTCCTGAGATATAATTGGATATTACACGATTGAGTCATATATAGTGAGATTTTTTTTCCATTTTTTCCCGGGTTGCGTCTAGAAACATTCTGTTTTATGTAAGCAGATCGAAACGCTTTACAAAATTGTCGACAGCATACGCCGTATATGTGCAATTTATCAACTTGCACAAATTCTTTAAATGTATTAATCGGCTGCAATATAGAATGTTTCTAGACGCAAGGAGCACATTGTATAGATCAGGCTTTACTTCAGAAGGAGACAAACATGAATAAAACCAAGATTAAAATTGAGCGACGTTTGGTGAAACCGGACCTAGGTACATCAATGACTGTGGCTGCGCTTTTAAAAAATTTCACGTAAATTACTTTCAGATGGAAATGACTGCTGAGATCTGAATATGTGTCACTGACAATGAGCCACACAACGAGCCAAATTTTCAGCTTCTCGGCTTATTTTTACAAATTCATAAACGTACACCTTTTTGCACTGCACGCTTATAAAGATAACGAGTTTCCTACGCAGAGTAACGTTTGATTCACTTTATGTCCGTTTACTGCAAAATAATAGCACTTTGAAACCTCCTGATTTACCTTGTACACATTGGCCCGTTTTCTCAATCTTCTTTTAGCAATAAAAGCGCCTCTAGAAGTGGCTAATAAGCCTTCTGATTGGCTACGAGCCACTTTTAGAAGAGCTCTTGTCGATAAAAGAGGATTCAGAATACAAGCCATTGTCTTAATATATTCTTTAGATAAATTGCTTTGCGACAAAGTTAGAAGTGATTCCTTGGATTAAAATGCTTAGTGTGATCTCAATCACTGGTATTCTCGATTTTGTCAGTTTCTACAAATGCTGAAAGTGTTCGAGTTAAGAAAACTCGCACATAATATTCATAATATTCTTAAAATTATTAAAAAATGTTGTATACAACAATGTATTACATTTATATTATTTAGAACGTCTGTTTTCACAATTAACAGTACTGCACGGTATTGTTACATGTTTAGATAAAATATTGACCAGATTATAAGTCAGGGATCAATGATGAAATTAATTGTGTGCGTCTATAAAACACGCTTTGAACTACAATTATACGACAATGTAGTACATACTTTTTTTTACTGTTCGTTGTTTCAGGTAACATGAAATTGTGGATCGTGATAGCACACATCACATTGGTCGCCACTAATCTGTGGGTCACAGCCCATTTCCAGGAAGAAGTGCCGGAGGATAATGAGTTCGCGGAATTTGAAGACTTCGAGGAGGAGAAGCCAAGCGTGTTGATCGAACGGGTGCTGGAGTTGCCCGAGGAAGAGGAATTGAATCAAGACTTCGAGGAGGACAATGTCCTGGTCACGGACGGTGACAGCGAATTCGATCACTTCCAAGATGAGGAAGAATTCGAGGGACTGGACGTTGCAGGGGGCAACGCTGGCCCAAAAAATGACGAGCCTTCCACGTTGACCATCACGAAGGTCCCATTTCATCTGCGAGAGAGATGGGACAGTTATTACCTGGAAATACTAATGATAACTGGACTGGTGGTATACTTTATAAATTACGTAGTAGGACGTAGCAAAAACGCGCATATAGCCGAGCAATGGCTGGTAGATCACAAGCAGCTGCTGCAGGATAACTTTTCTCTCATCGGTCACTCGAGCAAATCGAATGAGAACGCGAGCGACAATGGTTTCATAAGGCAGAGCGAATCGCAGTACAGTCTGTACTGTTCCGGGCGTGTCGGCTGCGACTCGATGCTCATCGAGTTGAAATTAATAAAGAGGCAAGACTTGGTCGCCGTATTAGCTCAACTGGTGCGTCCGCAAAACGATCAGGTTCACATAGAGGTGGAGCTCTCGAAAGACGAGGTGGATAATTTCGTTTTGGCAGTTGCCACCAAGCGGCTGGCGATGCATTTAGTGCGCGACATGGCTGACATTAGCGTGTACTGTCCGGAGAAACGGTCCGGAGAGAAGTTCGGGCTTCCATCAGGCTTTTACGTAATGTCCGAGATTCCAGAAGCAACGGCAGCTATCTTGGACACCAGGGTTCAGCAAGCCTTCTCAAAGTTTGCGTCTTACATAGAGTACATTCACATTAGCGATCAATTCAGTGGGCGCAAACCGCAGGAGTAAGTAAAAGTGTATTACCTGCGCAAGTTAAATAATGATTTAAATATTATAAATAAAATATAGTAAAGAAACTGCGTGTATTTAAGAGCGTACGTATGAATCTCTGATGCTGTGTCACGATAAATAACATTAACAATACTAATATTTAGTTTCATTCTAGAGATACCACTCAGTTAACAATGCCCGAAGTCAAAAGAGTATTGTTGATGAGTCTGAATATAAGTCTTAAGGGTCGCGCGAGTACTCTAGAGACTCAAGAAAAACTCAAACCTTTACTTCAACTTGCTTTCTATTTAATCGACAAGCTGCGACGTTTCAAGTTATCCAAAGAGGTTGGTATTTCTTTGCTGCGGTAGGAAACGAACGCTGTTAAAATATTGCAATTGAATAAATTTTCTTATGTACACAGGGTAAAAATAAAGCGGATAAAAATCGATTGAAAGTGGAGGAAGCCTTCTTGAAAACGACGCACGCCGCGAGGGCCGAAGCTGCGGCGCAAAGACGAGAGGAGCGTCGGAGGGCCGAGCAGGAAAGGATCCTCCAAGAGGAGGATCCCGATAAACAGCGGAAGTGGGAGGAAAAAGAGCAACGAAGATTGGCCAAGAAACGCGCCCCCAGAATGAAGCAACTCAAGGTGAAAGCTTTGTGATACAATCAGAATTAACGAGCGAGTTGCGTACTTTGCGGAATAAATCTAGAACCGTACTCGGGAAGGAAAATTCGTAAGGAATTACATTGGAAAATGTACTTCGTTAAAATTGTCGAAATATGTCTAACTTACGTCTTCATTGAGATTCATATATTCACTCAGTGTTCTCATACGAAGTATCGAACTTATTAAAGAAAGTACAAACGACTGTGAAAAAAAAACAAGTATCCTGCGAATTGTAAGTTTGTTGTGTGACGTATATTTTATTTGCCCTACACACTGCCAGCTTACATACTTAAATATCATAGAGATATATGATATTCCCTGTTGAAACAAGAATAATAAAATTTAGCGTATACTATACATGCATATATGATATTATACTGTCATACCTCTTTTTAACGCTTTATTTCAAGCTGATATGATATCCATAAAATCGTTATCCTTTAACACTGGCATTAAAACAACATTTATGTCCTAAAGAGATTCCCCACTGCAAAATACTTTCTTTTTCTCGCATTTGAGATAAATGCGTCATTAATTCAGTAACTTACATTATTGCAATTTCATCCAATGGTATAATTATTTGGATGAGTTTAATACTTTTTACATCCATGATATAAATGGAAATATAAAAGTCGGACTTACGTTTAAAAGGTGCGAAATAAAAATATATTATTTACTGTACATAATGATAATAATTAATCGTTTTCCAAGCAATGTGCCAAAGTATGCATAAACCTCTCTAATTGTAATATTATAATGCTCATCATAAATATGTAAAACTGTTTGAGCAATAGACCGATTATTTAAAAATATACATATTAAGTTTAAATGTTATTAATAATCTAATTTCTTTGTGTTAACTTTATTGTGACTTTTCATGCCAAGTGCGAAGTTGAATACTTTCAGCACGTATTGAACGACTTATTTTGGACGATAAGATTAATAGTCATTAATAAGCGAGTATATCGATCGTGAAAATGTAATCTTTTCACGGAGAGAGATAAAAATATTATATCATTATATACGTTATTTGCATTCCGAGGCGGGGAGAAGAGGTAAAGTTAAACTAGGGAACTTCCGGACTGTGCAGAAGTTTCGTATTACTCTGGATGACCGTTTTGGAAAACAGGAAGTTGTTATCCGACACAAAATCCGCTATGACTATGTTGAGCCCGCCGCGGCCGGGACGCTTCTGGCTTATCCAAGAGAGAATCGCTTTCTGGCAACGAGGCACCAGATCCCTTTGCAGGGTGCCGCACAAATGTTTTACGACGTAGGACGTATCCGGCGTCAGGAGGCATTGCGATATGAACGCAATGTCCAACTGCCTGCTCTGTAGCTCGACATTCAGGAAGTCTATCAGCTCGTCCACGCGGACGGTGTTGGGCCACACGGTACGCCAGAGACCGGACGGCCACAGATTCGCGTAGTTGCGCGCGTAAACGTTCCTGTAAATCACGAACACCTGGTATCTCTTGAGGACCAGCCACTGCAGCGTTATGTGATCGAATCTGGACGAGACTGGGCACAACTTGCCGCGGAAGATCTGGATTACTCTGTCTATAAGACGGTGATGATCCTGCTCCGTAAAGCCGTAGAAATGCTGGAAGTCCAGGATAACGATCTCGTTCGCGTGCGAGGTGAGCCAGTCGGCCACGTCCAGAAGCGGCTTGCTCACTTCCGCGCCGTACAGCCCGTGAAGGAAGTATATATTATTGGTTCTCGGCTTCGTGGCGACGCGCAGATCTAAATATCGGATTCCGCCGTTAAGCTGCTGCTTGATATCATCGCGTTGTGTAATAGACCAATTTAAAATAATGGGCTTGGCAACGAATGAGCAGTAACGACCGAGCGTTCGAATGAAGGCAGGTTCGTCCGGCCCCACGTCGCTGCGCCTCTCGATCGTGTAAGTCATGGTATCGTGAGAACCTGGAAGTTACCGGTTTGTATCATAATCGTCAAGTGTTCTCTCGGTAGACGCTTGATGCTAAATATAGTTTCATTACTCATTCGCATTTGCTCTTACTGCAGCGCAAAAAGAACTTGATCTGCTACATATGTGAATTTCAATTCAATGTGTATTGTTTACATACAGATGTATTTATTAAGCTCTTCTTTATGCTGCAGTAAGAGCAAATGAGTTGAAATTCACATACTTTGTAATTAGTTTTTGTAAATTTAAAAGATGATTCAAATTAAGTGTAACGTTTCAGGTTCAACTCTGATAAATGGAATAAAAATAATACTAATTCGAGTACTGGCTCTTATGATAAATTTGAAAAACTTTGAGTTTTGTACAACACATATAATCAGGCAAAAACCAAATTTTTCAGTTGAACATATTCCCGAGAATAAGGCTAATATTACATTTGCCGCACGGCAAATTTTTCAAGCGTTGACCGGTCGCAGAATAGAAAAGTTCTCGAGTCTCTGGAAATCTTCTAGCTTGTAGCCAATCAACGCACTTAAAAAAATTGTCGTACGACAAATGCAATAGTATCCTCAAAATTTTTAAGTGTGTCAACTGGTTGTAGAATAGAAATGTTCTCGAGTCTCTAGAAATTTTCTGTTCTGCAACCGGTCAACACGCTTGAAAAATTTGTCGTACGACAAATGTAATATTAGGCTTAGGGTCTGAGCAGAATGGGTGTTTTCAACTCTTACAACAGCCTTAAGGTGGTTGTACCCTGACTCCATAAGTCAAAATAAACTTCATTTAATAAACATCACAATATATATAAAAATTTTCTATCTAAAATATCGATAGTAAAAAGTATGGATTTTTATGATGTTATAACGACAAAAAATTATAAAATGCATAATAAGAAAAATTAATCTTTGTATTACGTAGTAAAAGCATAAGTAAAATCGTGGCAACTCGTCGCTTTTCAGTTAAGAGTGAGAGAGATTAAAAAATATCGAGCGAAGGAAATCTTTCGTGGGTACAACCACCTTAAGAAACTCTCCTCTTGCGATCATTCATGCTCTTATCAAAACTAATCAAGTCGAGGTACATCTCGTTATTTGCAAAAGAGCACGCGTCGCGCGGTATTGAAAGTATCATCTTATCACGTAGATCAATCTCTGTCACGACACGGGCGTGATTGCGCAGAACAATTTAAACGTACCGGGTATCGCCAGATGTATTATGGGTACATTCTTGAGTGGCGCCGGAAGCCGAGTCATCCAAAATTCCAGGTCCTCATTCAAAACCGTGCGCGGCCGCCTCTCGACGGACCTCTCTCCCTTTCCCTCCATGGTGTCCTGCGACGATCGCGCCTGGGATCACAAGAGTCGCATCTCTTGCCGGGGACAACACGAGCGCGAGGAGACGCGTCCGAGTCCCGTCGTCGAGCTGGCGGCGGACTCGCGAGGCGCGACCGCAGGTGTCGACTCGCGTATAACAGTACAAATGACGCACTGCCTCAGTACAATGTCGGCGCTTTATAGGCATTCATTGTACTTTCCCACGGTGATTTCAGGCCCGACCGCGCCAGGCGGCTTGGCTTACGCTCGTCCAGCGTAACCTCATTCTGCAAAATGCAGCTCCCGCTACGCGCATCAGCTGCGATCGCATCTCGGCGGAGAGCGTAAAATTTCTTTCTCTGCTCCGCCTAGCAAATCCCACAATTGCCTCCGCGGGATGCGGGGCTTCGCGGGCGGATGATAACGAAGCGACAAGAATTCGGCGAGAGAGCCAGCGAGATTTCGAGTCCCTCGGCGGAATGAGCGACGCTACGCGCGCTCTCCGCTCTGCGCATACGCGTGTCTTTATTACGTAATCAATTTTATGAACGTAACGCGCGAGGTGCACGCGAAAATCTTGACGAGGATTGCGTTTTGTTGAGCCCAAGGCCTTTCTGCCTCGCCAATATTGAAGGTCTAGTAGTTTTGTTCCGCGTGCGCTTTTCTACGAATATATAAATCCGGGACGAAGGATGAGAAATGTTACCCCAAAGATTCGGACTCGGTCTTCTCCATCTAAAATTATAATACAACATATTATACTCTTTGATATTCTTAAGAAAACTATTTAAGTATATCAGGACAGCAAATGTTATTTTATTGTTATCCTTGCGAGAAATGTATTTTTAAGAATCTAAAATAAAAATCGTTTTATAGTTATATATTTTGTATATATATGTAAATATAAAAATTATGAATTTAGCCAAGAAATGCGTTAAGCGACAACCCTCTCAAACGTGTTGCTTATAAATTTCTGGAAGTTTTCTAATTATTAATTTTTAAAATAATATTAATGGAATGTATGTCAAAGTGTTGAAGCGATGCTATATTATTCCAGCTGTGTATATGCCTTGAATTGCGTGGCATTGTATTGCGCATTTTATTTACCTGTGAATCATCGTCTTCCATTATGTCAGAAATGTTATGCTTCTCGAGTATATTCTGGAGCGAATAAATGATCTTCTGTTTCTGATCGGCGCAACACGAAGTACAAACATCGCTCGTGCAGACGTGCTCTTGCAACTGAAAACAACAGTCTCTTTGTATCATACGCACGAGGATATGTATGCTTTAAGTTGCATATTTATCGAGATACACTGCGATGCGTATGTAAATAATCGCGCGTTGTAATTATTGATTAATACCTTTATAAAAATATATTATAGAAAAATTTAATTTATCGTATATTATTAATAATTCAATTTCTTCACGCAACTTTTTATGCGTTCATTTATGACGTGTACCCTCTACATCCAGGCTTACAATTCCTTTCTATAAAAATTGCGACTGTAAAGTCTTGCATTCACGATGTTAGATCTCGATCTGAGAAGTGTGTAGCCAATACAATTTTCGTTTTTCCGCAATAATTGCAAGTTCGCCATACATTTCTCAGATCGAGATCTAGCATCGCGAGCACAAGGTTTAACGAAAAGAAGGAAGAGGCCAAGACCCATAGAAGGTGGCTTTTGTCCAAGAAACCGAGACTCGACCCGAGTTGTAATGCCATCGAGATGGGGTATTCTCTCCACGAGAATACTCTTTGTGCCCTAGATATTCGCGTGAAGGGAGCGATACCTGTAACGCTTCCAGGACGCACTGTTTGGCTTCGTTCAAGATCGTGTTCAATTTATCAAACTCCTCGCATTTCTTCCGCACTTCCTTCAGGACCTCCTCCCGGGCTCTCTTGGTCTCCTGCAAACGTTGCTCGAGGACCTTCACCCTCTCCTCCGACTCCACGCACCTCGCTTTGTACTCGTCCATCGCTTGCTCGTAATTGAGGTGCCTCGCGTTCTGGCGTTGTACTCGCCCGTACTCGAGGATCGTGTCCACGTGCTCCTCGGCCAGTTCGTGCATCGCACGTCTGTGCCTCATCGCGTCCTCCTGCGCGATCCTGGCCTCGCCCTCGAGCAGCTCGCACTGCAGCCTGAGCGCGCGATCGGTCTCCTTGTACTCTGAGCTCTGCGTTTCCAGGTCCTGGCAGACCTTCAACATCGAATTCAGCTCGTGGTTAAGCGCGATGTTCCTCCTGACCGCGTTGTGCATCACGTCCGCTATACGGACGTTCGTCGCTTCCTTGAATTCCCGAGCAAGCTGCTTCAATCGTTCCTCCATATCCTTTTGCATTCTGCAAATATATTAAACGACATTACAACAATTTGTTAAGAATTTTCTACGAGACACGTAAGGGCCTGAGCAGAACGACTGTCTTGTACTCTTAAGAGACAATGTTTTATGTTTCAAATCTTAGTCTTAAAGTAACGCACAATAACTGTCTTGTGACTTAAGAATACAAGACAGCAATTCTGCTCAGGCCCTAAGACAAAGATTTAAAACATAAAACATAGTTTCAAGAGTACAAGACAGTCATTCCGCTAAGTCCTAAATCTTGAAAAGATATCGTGCGGCGCCTGAAGGCGTTCCATGTACTTGTCTCAAACATTCAAACGTGGCGTTCACGAGGGACACTTTATTGATTGATCTGTTTACTTAGCCTTGGCAACAATGACTGATTTCTCCGTTTCGTAGAGCGTCGTCTTGTGCAATTCCTCTTGTTTCGCCATTTCCTCTTCCTGCACCTCAAACTTGCGCATCAAATCCAAACGGGCCAATCTCCAGTCTTCCAACGCGTTCAACTTACCAGCTGACGCGAGGCAACATAGAACATATAATTTTTCATTTTATTCGTGTTCCTTCGTCTACACTTGTATCGTGATAATTTTTGTTATTACCTGCGAGTTTCACTTCGGCGCTTAAATTGCTTTCCATAGTACGGAACTCCTGTTCCATTGCGCTTTCCCTCTTTTTGTACTCGGCTTGCTCCTGCTTTCTCAGCTCTTCCAAGGCCAACAAACGTTCGTTCAACTCGCGGGCCTCCTCTATCTTTCCCTCCAGGTCTCGCTTCAGATGCGCCACGACGTCCGATCGATCCTCTTTCAACTGCTCGAATTTCTTCATCAAATTCTTCACCTCGATCTCGAGCTCCTCATTTCGGCTGCGTAGTCTTAAAGCAATATCGAAAGGAACACGTCATTAAACGCGAGCCAGAGACGGAAGTAAAAAAAAAACGTCAGCCTCGATCTTAACGAAACAAACCGTGACAATTGTCTATTGTTGTCTAGAATTTGTTGCTCGTAAGACACAGTTTCTCGTTCGTTTACAGCCTTCTTCCGTACTTTCTTCTCCTTGTCACCCCCACGTTTCTTCTTTTTGAACATCTTGTTACTTTTATACGCCAGTTACGCTCCAAAATTTTTCGGTTACTTTATTTCAAGTTATTCATGTCAGAAGCATGTCGTGTCAAGTCCAAATTTGTGAAGAAGCGGAGTCGAGAAGATATTGAAATTCGATCGGAATTACTACATAGTGTTCACTGCACAACGTCGAACATTAATGCTTCTGATCCGTTGTTCCTCCGTCTTTCTGTTGCCATAGTAAAGAGATAACAAACCAAATATATATCTTCTACGAAACTATGTAAGTGCGCGAGTATGAGGTGTATGCGTGAATAAATATCAACACAACATGATTAACATAAAACATCAATTGAAATAACATGATTCTTAATACAATATAATAAAAGTTTAACACATAAGGAAATATAAAAGAAATACAACAAATGGTAAGTGGTACATATTTACATACAGGATATTCCAAGTTATCCAATACTGCTTTAAGTATCAATTATATTTGTGTCTGCTTCAATATAATTCAAACAAAAGTATGGTGAAGCAAAGAAATAAATTTGTACTTTGGTTTTTCGCAATATCGCTGACTACGTTATAAAACTCTGACATATCCTGTATACATATAATGCGATAGAACAAGTTACAAAATTAGGGCACGTAATGTAAGAAACGTCAATATTTGTCATGTAATAGTATGACTGCATTCATACAGCCCATGTACCAATGACACTTATACGCTTCCAATTTTGGCGTATATACAATTCAATCTATCTGCGCAATTACAATTGTTTACACAGCCACAGTCAATATCATGCGCGTAAAGATTGTAATATTCTTTGGCAATAAAACAATTTTATTAGATAAATAATCAACAACCTTTTAATTCGTATTTTATATTACAGCAATATTTTGTAGTATTTTAATATGTATCGTGTGTAATCTAAGGTAATTACAAATGTGTCACTGAAAAAAGCTGTATAAGTGATTTAATTGAACAAAACTATCATGAAATAATATTGTTGCAAAGGTAATTTAAAGTTTACATTTTTTAAGAAAATATGATATAGAGAAATGCAAATTTGGATGAACTTATTCATGATTCTGTCTTACGGAAAGAGGAAACTCGAAAATTGTTCATCATAAATCCATCCATTTACGGGCAATATCCCTTCTCACATGATATACACATTGAGCTTAATCATGGAACTTTATAAACTAGGAACTAAGCTCAGAGTCCACGTACGAGTATACGAATAATAATCGAAAAGGAAAATAACGTAAATAATAGAAAACTGACCAATTATATTCGTTGCAGTGTTATACAATTTTCAATAAATTTAGGCGTAATCTCTGAGAAGTAAATTACTACAATATGTACAATTTAATGCACTGAAATATTGAACTCGAGGTTATTACATCGGAAGGATGTTTATCAAAAATGATGTCCCAATACACGAATCTCTTATAAAATTCTTTCCAAGCTTAGTCTAGAAAAATCTATGTATATTCATATATGTATAAGAGATAAAATGAATGACAGTACAAAATTTAGTTAACAGGAGGTCTCGGTGGGGGAGGTGGCTGCGGTCTGCGGAAGTATATAATAAGACTAAGCATTCCTGTGAGAAATCCGATAAGATACAGATCCCAGTTTTGTCCGAGCAATTGATCCCATTTATCCAATTGATCGACTAAACTGAATTCTTGTAGGTAATCGAAGCCAAAGAGGAAAGAAAGTTTGATCAAAGCTAACGCTACGGGTATTCGCGCGTCAGGACTAGCTTCCGCGGCTAAATCGTAGCACCGTTTAGCCAAGTGCCGATCTTTGGCTAAACCTAGGCCGCGTTCGTGCATGTATCCCAAGTTGAACATGGCTTGAGCGTTGTGCTGTTGCTCGGACGCCGAACGGTAGTGGCTCGCGGCAGCCTCGTAATCGACTTTTGTTCCTCTGCCGTAGTAATGCGCGTCGCCAAGTTTAACCTGAAGTAAAACAGAGCTCGTCTCACGCTCGGAACGCAAACAGAAATCTTTGTCAGTGAATAGTTGGATTCGTACACCCACCTGCGCAGCGGAATATCCTTGTGCGGCAGCTCGCGCCCACAGCGCCAGAGCTCTAACTAAGCCCTCTTCCTCCGATAAAATATCGGTTTCCGCTCTATCTAAAATAAACGCCGCGTTACTCTGCGCAACCTCGTAGCCCATTTCGGAAAACAGGGCGTAATTGAGGAACGCCTCGTTCACTCTGCCTTCTCTATAATCGTTATGGGCCACCATCAATTGATCGCTCCATTTTCCTCTTTCGGCAACGTTTTTCATCAATTCCACAGCTGTTGGGCAACTTCTCATCATTCCAGTGCCGGTGGCATGCATCTGCGCGAGATTATAGTACGCCAGCACGTGACCGGATTGACTGGCTAAATTAAAATATTTGTTTGCCATTTTGTAGTCTCGCCTGACGCCTATGCCACCTAAGAAATAAATTCAAGTATTATTTACACAGCAGTAGACGAATATCTACGCGAAAGGAAGAGAGAGAGGATAGAATGGTTACGCAATTATAAATACATATACTTACTGAAATACATATTGCCCAGCTGCAACTGCCCATCGACCCAGCCTTGTTCCGCGGCTTGGCTGAAGTACTGCAATGCTTTAGCAGTGTTTCTTTCTACTCCCATTCCGTACAAGTACATCAGACCCAGTCCACTTTGGCCTACGGGATTGCCCAACTCTGCGGCTTTCTTGAAATATTTATATGCCGTTTCATTGTCTTGCTTAACAATTTCACTTCCTTCTAGATAAATCTGTAAATATACGCGTAAAAGAAATATTATATAATCGAAATACGCTCGAGTAAATTACTGTAATTTCACCCAGCGTACAGCTCCAAGTATTATTGTCGAGATTTCACTTTACCTTTCCGAGAAACGCCATGGCGACTGGATTGCCAGCGTCGGCAGCGTGTTGAAAATACTGCACAGCTCTTTCGTGATCCAAGGGAACCCCTCTACCTCCTTGATAATGAAGCTGCCCAAGTCCAACTTGTGCTTGGGTGTCGCCTTTTTTTGCCAAAAGCTGATAGTACTCTATCAAATCTTGGTCAAAAATTCCAGAGGTGTATCCCGGGTTCTCGTGCTCGTCTAAAAGCCGAACCCGCTGAACCAGTGGACCGCCGCTCAGCGAGACTTCCTCCGCGACCTTCTTCGCCACTTTGCGATAAAAGTCCAAAGCACGTTCGCAGGAAGCCGGTGTCGTGACGCCCGCCCAATGGCGATATCCCATCACCATCTGAGCACGAACGTCACCACCAAGAGCAGCTATAGTATAATGAAGTAAAGCCTTTCCTTGCGACGCGTTAACGCCGCCAATACCAGTCGCGAATAAAAATCCCATTCCCTGTACACAAATACAACAATCAATTGCAAGATTCTCTCTTCGTCAAAGTTCAGTACAGTATAATCTCGTTAATTCGGCCTATTAAAACCGAGGACGCGAGAAAACTGGACTGTACGAAACATAGCAGATATAAATAAAGTACTATGTGAAGTGCCAAAAATTTATTGTTTAGACAAATAGCTTTATTTTAAAGAGTGTTCGGCTTTCCGCAAGAAAATGACTAATCGCAGCCGACTATTCACCTCACATTTGACACTGTAATTGATCACTTTCTGAAATCTTATGATCAGAGGGGCCAGCAGACACTCGCGAGTGCCGGATTATCGCATGTGGCGGACGATCGAAGGTCAGATTAGCGAGATTACACTGTACTGCGTACCACGTACGTACCATGTGGGCGGATGGGAGTCCCGTGTCCGCAAGTTCCTGGAAAACTTTGAATATATTAGGTATGTCGTCAATGGCCACTCGCAGAGAAGCGGGGCCCAAGGGAGTTCCGAGTAACCTCGCCCACGCCAATATCGACCTGGCCTCTCTGTGGCCCAACTTTGCCGCCTCGACGAGCAGTCTGTAACCCTCGTGCTTGTTGGCGCGCATCGCGTTTATGATGCCCTCCGCTTTCTTGAACAACAGCTCAGCTGAAAAGGAAAGCAGCAATGAAGACGGAACCGATTGTCGAGAGTAACGCGCGCAAAGGGTCACCGCGCCGTCCCAAGTACCTGCTTGTTGCTCCGCCGTTAACTTTTGTTCCTCCTCCTCGGAGGGGAGTATCTCGGTGGGCGTTTGGGTCCAGGACCTCGCGTCCTCTTCGTCCAACGACCTCTCGTTTATAACCGAGTCGATGTCCTTCGTTTCGGCTATCATAGTCTTCATCCACACGTTCCTCGTCGCACGATTGTCCAGGGCCTCCTCGCCGGACGTCTCCACGACCGTCTTGTCGTCCCCGGCCTCCTTGCCGTCCGCCTGCTTGCCGATCTTCTCGTAGATCGGCTCGGAGGCCGGCACGAGTTTCAGTATCGTGTCGCGCAGGGCATTCAGCTCGCGCAGCTGCTCGAAGGCGCTCTCCATATCCTCGATGGGCACCTCCTCCTCCGTCTCCTCGTTGCCGTTCGACTTCTGCGTGATGTCGCCGCGCTTCTTCGCGCCGCCCTCGTGCTCGGCGGTGCTCAGGAGGAGCGACGTAAGGAGCACGAGGAGCACGACGCCTCCGTTGGACTTCATAGCTACGGCGAAGACACTTTTCACACGCGGGCCCACCTCATCACCAAAGAAAAGCCTACAAACTCGCCCGTGACCTTAACGCGCTCATCGCCCGCTCGGGCACGCGGGTTATGCGGGGCGCGCGATTGATCGCACGATCGACACGTACATACGTGGACATTCGTGGGTACCGTCTCGCCTCTTCGACCAATTACGTCATTAGGACACGTCAATAC